CAATGATGCAGACAATGTTCCATACATTTATTGTGAAAAACGTTTTTATGACAGTGGTGGGGAGTGGATTCAGTGCCAGAGTTGCAACGGTTGGGCTCATTGTACCTGTGCTAACATTGATGAAAATGCAGGACCCACGTACTTTTTTTGTGACGAGTGCAAAGAATCAGACTAAAACTTTATTATTTATTACTAACCTCATATTTTATATTTGTTATTATTCATTATGAAAATTCATCATCATTGTTATTATTTATTTTTGTTATTAATCATCACTGTTATTATTTCTTATTTTTATTAATCATCACTGTTATTATTAACTTCCCGGGATATGGAAGTTATTTATTATTGTTATTAATCATCATTGTTCTTATTCATCATCATTCCATCCAATTTCACCAAGACTTTTGATTAGAACGTGGACATTTTCGTATTCATTAGAATGAAGTTATCTTACCATGATGTTGTTCTCAATTTTCATTAATGGCAGTATACTTTTCACGTTCACCTCTAATAATAAATTATAAAAGTCAATTACGAAGTGAAAAAGGTGTCATTATTGAAAGAAAAAACTTTCCTGCGGGGTTTAACTGGTTCAAAAATAGTATCTGGCGTCTAACTCCATCACCCACCGACCACCACCTCCTCCTCCATCATTCTCACCCCTCCTATTCAGTGATGAATTTTGNAGGGGTCCGTTTTGCCCCCCGGTCCGTTTTGCCCCCCCCCCCCTACATTGAATTTTCAGTGAAATCTGAAATTTCATTATTTTTCTCCTCTTAAATCGCATTTAGTGTCACTGTCCCGAAAATTCTAGAAAATATTTATCGGAATTATCTGGTTTTCTATTCATTTTCAGGGAAAAATGGAATGGAAATTTACAGTTCTCTTTGAATTTTCCATGAAGTTATGAATTTTCAGTGACGAAATTCCTTGAAATTTCAATGGTAATTGAATTCGATAAAAAGACCAGAAAGTATAGCGGAAAATTCTAGTGATGACGCGAGACGAGACGAGACGAGAAACTGATGCCTCTCATCTCGTCTCGTCTCGCCACCCGGGCATAGTAATCTCGTCTCTTCTCGTCAGTCGAGAAAGAATCCCGCTCTCGTCTCGATTTCTCAGGTCGAGAACAGACGAGAATACGAGACTCTCGTTCTCTCGCCTTCTCGTCCCTCGAATTCATTTGGGCCTCTCTCTGGCGCTCACTAAACAAAACGAATTTATGTGTTTATATGGATTGTTTTTTTCATGCAATAATTATTAAAAAAATGATGGTATATGATATCAAATAGTTCATATATAGATGACATTTGTGTTGGAAAATTAAGACTTAAAAATGATCAATAAAATATCCGGCGATGAATCAATGAACAGATATATTATTAATAAAATACTTCATTATTTTTTTCCATATCGTCACTGTATTCTTCTCTCATTTTTTTTTTGACCTCTACTATACCCTTTCCTCTCCCATTCGAATTTTTTCATGTGCTTTTCCGTACTTGAGGGTTTTCGGAAAATCTGAAAAATTGCGACAGTACCTTTTCTATCAGTTGCAGTCGAACTGATGACCAGTGCACTTCAAACGTTCTTAACTAGTGCGAAAGCGAGCTTCAAAAGTAAATAACACTACGTTGTTGGATTTTTTTTCCATTTTTCCCTTTTTAATGTGATTGAGGACTTGTGACCCTAGTGTTCAAGACATTTTAGATTCCAAATTTTTTATTCAATTGTGCTTCTTCTGATATCGTGGTTTTCGATGGTTGAGTTGTTTAAGTGATTTATTGTATTTTTTTTTGCTTTTCGCCATGAACCGAAAAAATCAGGACTCAGTGTTGAGCAATTCAAGTAAATCGAAAAAAGCAAGGACAATTGTTTGTGATAAACAGTTGGAGCCACCGACAACTGTCCACCGAACACTGTTGAAAGATGACCAAATGCCGAGGATTCACTCATTGGTGCACGATATCGTCCCTATTTCGATGGGATTTCAGACGATGGCATTAAATATGGAATTTTTAAACTTTATAAAGCAGCTCACGTATCACGTGAAATAAAAATGAAGAAAAATAACAACACATCAGGTACAGGGTACTACTTGGAGACAAAGCACATTGACATTTATGCTAAGCTTTTTTCGTCCAGTCAAAATGGGAGTGCCGATCAAACAACAAAAAACATCAATTATTCGAAATCATCGTCGGTAAGTTCTGTTTCTTTATATAGGGGAGGGGCGGGGCAAAACGGACCGGGGGGCAAAACGGACCCCTGGGGGCAAAATGGACCCCTAAAAAAAAGTTTTTTTTTTTCTTTGATGCTTGGGAACAGTGGTGATACCACATTCATCAACGTTATAAATGTCCTTATTAGTTAAATTATCCTCAGCTATAATTGGTGCTATCAAACTCATAAATCTTGCCACAGCCTCTCTATTGAATCCTTTAGCTCTGGCTTGGGAAGTAGGTTGAGGCTTGCGTAGAGATAAGACAGAGTTTCGCTTCATAAACCCTCGACGCCAATCTGCGCCAGCTCTACCATGTGTGAATTGGTGGGGGATGTTATTCTTCTCTGCCAAATCATGTGCGAGTATGCATAAGTCTTTGGATGTTAATCCATGGAGTCTACTCTCCATCTCCAACACATAATGACAGATTTCAACTTCTTGTGTTTTTGAAAAAGTTGGCTTCAAACTTCCTAATCCTAGATATCAAACAAATTAAAAAATTAAAATCAATCCTGCTAGTTATGGAAAAAAATATGAATGAAGCAGAGAAGTGGACAAGTTGATGTTGCCCATAACTCTTGATATTTGATCATGTTGATAATGAGAAATTTTAGGATAAAATGTCAAAAATTATTTTTTCTGAGTAATTCTCTCAGCTACGAAAACGGTCTTCTCACTTTTTCTCCTAAAATTACTCATTTCTGAGGGAAATGCAAAAACCTAACCCAACATCAGTTTGCTACTGAATCAAATAAATCATTTCTTATCTCAAAAAAATTGGAGAATGATTGTTGAGTGAAATATGGAAAAATGTTGAATGTTACCTTTCTCAACTGCCAATTGAAGATCAGGATTCTTTCTGCAACATTCAACTCGACGTTTGAAGATTATGGGGGGTAATCCATATCTTTCTGCAATTTGTTTATACCCTGGTGGGTTTAATGACTCTGATGAACCTTCCACATAATCAATTATGCCTTTGGCCATTGAAACTGCATCCCAGTCCTGTCTATCTGTCGTTCGTTTATAATTTCTGACCATTTTTATTCAATTGAATTAGTCATAGTGCACGTATTCTTTGTTAGTTCTCTGTTGATTATTAATAATGGCTAATGGAGATGAATATGAAGATGAATATGGAGATGAATATTCGAATTCGAAAAATCAGGAGTGCTGCCACCTAGCTGTTCTGAAAGAAATTACCACCCAGGCACATGTACTTTTTTTGTGAGGAGTGCAAAGAATCAGACTAAAACTTTGTTATTTATTACTAACCTCATATTTTATATTTGTTATTATTCATTATTGTTAATAATCATCACTGTTATTATTTATTATTTTTATTAATCATCACTGTTATTATTTATTTTGTTATTCATCATCATTGTTCTTATTCATCATCATTCGATCCAATTTCACCAAGACTTTTGATTAGAACGTGGACATTTTTGACACTGCTGCTACGTTCACCTGATGTCGAAAAGTGTCTTTTCGTTTACTAGTAAACGAAAAAAGGCACAGTTCGCCACTCGCTGAACGTAACATCACTGTCAAAAACTATTGTTCGACACATGTGAGACAGGAATTTTCAGCTCGTGTGATTGGCGTTCAACTTCACACTCGTGAAAATTCTGTCTCACTCGTATCGAAATATACTATTTCGTATTCATTGGAATGAAGTTATCTTACCATGATGTTGTTCTCAATTTTCACCACCACCTCCTCCTCCATCACTCTCACCCCTCCTATTCAGTGATGAATTTTGGAAAATTTTATTCATGAGAAAAAAAAAATTTTTTTAGGGGTCCATTTTGCCCCCCGGTCCGTTTTGCCCCCTTGGTCCATTTTGCCCCCCCCCCACCCCCTACCAAAGAGGCTATAAGCATGTAAAATTTTCCATCAGAGATTTCCAACAATTCAATCCCTCTAACTTAAATAGACAGTTAAATATTGAGTTTCAGATTGCTATATGTATTTTTCCATTATATGGTATATTCCACCAATTATCGACCAGTCATCCAGCGACTAAGTTTCGATTTGTCTGAAAATTTTACCATTTTTTAGGAACATTGAAAGAAGCCTCCTCCTAAATTTTTAGCCTTCTATCTCGTTGGTACATCACGAACACTCATATTCTCGGTTTTCCTTGAAAACTATTCGTCCATTTTTCACGAGTATTGGGTGGGTTTTATGCGAAAAATACATAAGACCTGTTGTCAAGGAAAATGTTTGTTTCAAATCGCAATGAGTTTTTATTTCAGATATTCGTTTAGCCATTCGCTTTGGGAAAATTGAGCATACATATCCGACTCTAACCTTTTACAATAATTATAGTCAGCGTAACTATTTTCCACTAAAAGAAAAACATTTTTCTCGGATTAAAGACGAACGTTCGTTTCACTTGAGCCTGGTGGAATGGCTATCCATCAAATATTTTCCACTGAGCTTCTTCAGCTATCAGGCTACACAAACGATTTTATAAGGTGTTAGTCCCAAATTTCAATACGCGAAAAGAACTGCTATGACTGTTCTCATTTCTGGCACGTATCAACAAATGCGAACAAAAGTCATGAGCATTCTCCAGAAAAATGACTCCCTGATTTCCTTCACAACGGACGGATGGACGTCAAAGGGAAATCATACTACGAAATTACAGCTCATTTCATCGATGAGTTCTTGAACTTCAAGTCATTGGCAATCGATTTTGTTCCTTGTAATGGACGCCACGCGGGTATTGATATGGCTCATTTGTTCTATACATCTTTGGAAGCAGCTGGATTGCTGGAGAAGGTACAGGGCATTACACTCGATAATGCCTCTGTTAACACTGCGTTCATGAGAGAATTCGGCAAATTATTACATCCAAATAACCTGTCCTTCGACGTTCAGAATCAAGACTTCAATGGCTTCGTCTATATCATCAATTTACTGGTTCAAGATATTCTAAAGATGTAACAACTTGATTACTGTGAAGAAAGTATTTTAGATCCAGCAACTGACTAGACGGAAGAGGATGATTCTGATGAAGAAATCGATGAATGTGAAGAGCAACAAACTGACGGAGATGAACATGTTCATTTAATAAATTCCCCTGTTGTGAAGCTGCGAGCTATCTGCAAGAAATTGAGAAAGTCTGAACAACTGAGGATTCAGGTGAAAAATTATTGCAAAGTCTTCCAGAAAGATTATATCCATTTACCAATGGATGTTTCGACAAGATGGCACAGCACACACGATTTAATCACTGCAGGATTAAGAATGCAAAAATCAATATGCAATTTATCGCATAATACTCCAAAGTTATCCCATCTTGTAATTGGAGAAGACGAATGGATTCTGCTCAAACAGTTACAAATGTTCTTGCAATGTTGCAAGAAATTTTCATTGACCTTGGGGGATGATCGATATCCTACTCTTCCGTCCGTTATTGTAGGAGTCAACATTTTGCTTGATAGTATCGAGAGACTGCAAAAATATGAATGACAAACCCGACCGTGACGAAGTTGATGAAAATCTCATTCTGGCATTCCAAGCAGGGCGTGATAAATTACTTACGCATTGTAACAAAACCAGCTGGATTTATGGCGCAGTTTTGGTTTCGGATCCGCGCCACAAGGTAGAGACTTTTGATAAAACAACATGGGGGCGAGACCTTAAGGAAGAGTCGTACAAAAAAATTGAAGAAATATTTAGAATAAAATACGCTTCATCAATGAATGATGAGTCACCCCTGATGGAGGATTCTCCTGATAATTCAAATCTTGATGAATATACTGACATAACTGCCAATACAGACACGAATGGAGATATGGACGAGTACACAAAAGCATTAAATTCACTTTACAGTACAAAGAGGAAATAAACGTGGAAAGTTGTACTAGACACTTATCTAAATTTGGGCCGAGAGAATAAAGACGTAGATATTTTAGAATGGTGGTCTCAGCAGGAAAAAACATTCCCTCATTTGGCAAAAATGGTTCGCGATTTTTTGCCGATCTGTGGATCAAGTATTCCTTCTGAACGTATTTTTTCAAAAGCAGGGCTTATCGTGAGAAAGCACAGAAACCGACTGAGGAACAGAAACATTGAGGCACTTTTATGTATGAATTCTTGGTTTATATCTGACTTGGCCACAATAATAAAAGCCCAGTTATTGAACTGCTCGGAAAAGTCCTAAAGGCTTGTTTAAACTGCAAATAATTTTTCTTTGTGTATACTTGTCATAAAATAAGCTTTCAGAAAGATTACAAATTACAATGTATAGAGAATTTATCACATATCGTATATATTGTATTCAATGTTTATTGATTATGCGTGGATATATAATATATTTAAGCTCTTTACATGTTTGAAAAAAAACAGTGAATTATATTAGATATTTATGGATTTGGAAAAAAAACATAGGGAACTCCCAAGGAAAATAAATCGATAGATTGTTAGAAAAAAGTTCGAATTTTATTGATATTCTCCTTAACATTTTCAGGAAAGCGACGTTCAATTTTATCTCAAGTGCAAAAAAACATGAAATGCGTTTTCCTGATTAACATTAATCCTAAGACAAAAATCTAATCGAAAATAATCAAAAATATTTACATCGGTCTTCTTTTATCAAATGGTGAATTTTCAATAACGGAATCTCTTGAAATTTCAGTGGGATTGTCACTTGATGGAAATTTTCAAAAAATGTATAGGCAATTTCAGTCAAAATTTTCGGTATCCATTAATTAATGGATGTGCGACGGATTTTTTTTTCATTTGATATATCAACAATGGAAAGTGTATTGTGGCTTATATATATAATGGCTTATAAAACAACGCAACAAACTCAAAAATTTATTGAGTTGTTTCAAAATACTTATAATTCACAATGATATACCTTTTTAATGAGGGGTATTTATCCAAATTTATTTTGAGTTTTGAGAGCACGTAGTTGTCTCGCCTATCGCCACCCGACTCTCGTCTCGTCTCGCGAAGAGCCGAGACGAGAGTGGCGTACTATTCACCATTTGATAAAAGAAGACCGATGTAAATATTTTTGATTATTTTTGATTAGATTTTTGTCTTAGGATTAATGGTAATCAGGAAAACGTATTTCATGTTTTTTTGCACTTGAGATAAAATTGAACGTCGCTTTCCTGAAAATGTTAAGGAGAATATCAATAAAATTCGAACTTTTTTCTAACAATCTATCGATTTATTTTCCTTGGGAGTTCCCTATGTTTTTTTTCCAAATCCATAAATATCTAATATAATTCACTGTTTTTTTTCAAACATGTAAAGAGCTTAAATATATTATATATCCACGCATAATCAATAAACATTGAATACAATATATACGATATGTGATAAATTCTCTATACATTGTAATTTGTAATCTTTCTGAAAGCTTATTTTATGACAAGTATACACAAAGAAAAATTATTTGCAGTTTAAACAAGCCTTTAGGACTTTTCCGAGCAGTTCAATAACTGGGCTTTTATTATTGTGGCCAAGTCAGATATAAACCAAGAATTCATACATAAAAGTGCCTCAATGTTTCTGTTCCTCAGTCGGTTTCTGTGCTTTCTCACGATAAGCCCTGCTTTTGAAAAAAAAAAACGTTCAGAGGGAATACTTGATCCACAGATCGGCAAAAAATCGCGAACCATTTTTGACAAATGAGGGAATGTTTTTTCCTGCTGAGACCACCATTCTAAAATATCTACGTCGTTCTTTTCTCGGCCCAAATTTAGATAACTGTCTAGTTCAACTTTCCACGTTTATTTCCTCTTTGTACTGTAAAGTGAATTTAATGCTTTTGTGTACTCGTCCATATCTCCATTCGTGTCTGGATTGGCAGTTATGTCAGTATATTCATCAAGATTTGAATTATCAAGAGAATCCTCCATCAGGGGTGACTCATCATTCATTGATGAAGCGTATTTTGTTCTAAATATTTCTTCAAATTTTTTGTACGACTCTTCCTTAAGGTCTCGCCCCCATGTTGTTTTATCAAAAGTCTCTACCTTGTGGCGCGGATCCGAAACCAAAACTGCGCCATAAATCCAGTTGGTTTTGTTATAATGCTTAAGTAATTTATCACGCCCTGCTTGGAATGCCAGAATGAGATTTTCATCAACTTCATCACGGTCGGGTTTGTCATTCATATTTTTGCAAAGTCTCTCGATACTATCAAGCAAAATGTTGTCTCCTACAATAACGGACGGAAGAGTAGAATATCTATCACCCCCCAAGGTCAGTGAAAATTTCTTGCAACATTCCAGGAACATTTGTAACTGTTTGAGCAGAATCCATTCGTCTTCTCCAATTACAAGATAGGATAACTTAGGAGTATTATGCGATAAATTGGATATTGATTTTTGCATTCTTAATTCTGCGGCGATTAAATCGTGTGTGCTGTGCCATCTTGTCGAAACATCCATTGGTAAATGGATATAATCTTCCTGGAAGACTTTGCAATAATTGTTCACCTGAATCCTCAGTTGTTCAGACTTTCTCAATTTCTTGCAGATAGCTCGCAGCTTCACAACAGGGGAATTTGTTGACTGAACATGTTCATCCCCGTCAGTTTGTTGCTCTTTACATTCATCGATTTCTTCATCGGAATCATCCTCTTCCGTGCAGCCAGTCGCTGGATCTAAAGTACTTTCTCCACAGTAATCAAGTTGTAACATCTTTAGAATATCTTGAACCAGTAAATTGATCATATAGGCGAAGCAATTAAAGTCTTGATTCTGAACGTCGAAGGACAGGTTATTTGGATGCAATAATTTGCCTAATTCTCTCATGAACGCAGTATTAACAGAGGCATTATCGAGTGTAATGCCCTGTACCTTCTCGAGCCATATCAATCCCCGCGTGGCGTCCATTACAAGGAACAAAATCGGTTGCCAATGACTTGAAGTTCAAGAACTCATCGATGAAATGCGCTGTAATTTCGTAGTATGATTTCCCTTTGACGTCCATCCGTCCATTGTGAAGGAAATCAGGTAGGCATTTTTTTGGAGAATGCTCATGACTTTTGTTCGCATTTGTTGATACGTGCCAGAAATGAGAACAGTCATAGCAGTTCTGTTCGGGTATTGAAATTTGGGACTAACACCTTGTAAAAACGTTTGTGTAGCCTGATAGCTGAAGAAGCTCAGTGGAAAATATTTGATGGATAGCCATTCCACCAGGCTCAAGTGAAACGAACGTTCGTCTGTAATCCGAGAAAAATTTTTTTTTTCGTGGAAAATAGTTACGCTGACTATAATTATTGTAAAAGAGTAGAGTCGGATATGTATGCTAAATTTTCCCAAAGCGAATGGCTAAACGAATATCTGAAATAAACCTCATCGCGATTTAAAACAAAAATTTTCCTCGACAAAATTATCTCTCTCTTATGTATTTTTCGCATAACACCCACCCAATACTCGTGAAAAATGGACGAATAGTTTTCAAGGAAAACCCAGAATATGAGTGTTCGTGATGTACCAACGAGAGAGAAGGCTACAAATTCAGGAGGAGGCTTCTTTCAATGTTCCTACCAAATGGTAAAATTTTCAGACAAATCGAAACTTAATCGCTGGATGACTGGTTGATAATTGGTGGAATATGTCATATAATGGAAAAATACATGTAGCAATCTGAAACTCAATATTTAACTGTCTGTTTAAGTTAGAGGGATTGAATTGTTGGAAATCACTGATGGAAAATTTTACATGCTTATAGCCTCTTTGGTATATCAAGGAAGAGAACTTACCGACGATGATTTCGAATAATTGATTTTTTTTGTTGTTTGATCGGCACTTCCATTTTGACTGGACGAAAAAAGCTTAGCATAAATGTCAATGTGCTTTGTCTCCAAGTGATATTTCAACCCTGATGTGTTATTATTTTTCTTCATTTTTATTTCACGTGACACGTTAGCTGCTTTACAAAGTTTACAAATTCCATATTTAATGCCACCTTCT